CTGTACTCTCCTTTTAACTTTGCTGTGAACCTAAAACCTCTCTAACAAAAATCCTAATAAACAAATAAACAAACAATCTTTTAAACGTGTATTTTGGAGCCGCACCTGCTTTGCTGGGACTCCCAAGCATGACCTTACCTGCCAGTGGGCAATATGATACCAAAGGAACTGGTCCCAGGCTGAACCTCTTTCCCCTTTAATTCACACGCCTCTCCGTCCACAGCCCCATCCCTTTCTTTGCACACAAACCTCTCTCCTTAAAGGAAACTCTCCTTGATTGTTCTCTGCCCCTTCCAGCCAACTGAATCTCTAATTTGCCCTCTTTTATCCTCTCCCCCATTTTTTTCCTATAGAGCCCAGCCAAATACCCACCCCTGTTAGTCCTTGGGCTTACCCCCTCCAACCGGACTTCTGGGCCACGCTATTCCCCCAGGCTGCTTCCCTCACTGACTTCCTTCTTGCCAGATCCAGTGACCTGATATTAGCACGGGATTCCGAGTCAGAAGGCCTGGGCAGGAGCTCTGTCACTCACCAGCTGTGTGACAGTGAGCAAACTGAAGCACTTCTCTGGGCCTTGGGCAAGTCACCTTGAAAATGGTTTACAGTCTCTGCCTGTCATGAATGCCAAGGAGTTCTGAAAGCTCAGATTCAAATACAATGTTAAGATCTGTCTTTTGTGCAAATCAGATGTGATATAAGATACATGACAGCGCTGGATAAACTTACTCCCCCACTCCTTCACTGACTATGAGAATGATCACAGACTAAGGTGGCTCGGGGCACATGCAGAATGCGGTAGAGAGAACAGAGTGCTGGTGTCAGGTCTGGATTGAGTCCCCAGTCTGCCCTTTCTAGCTGTGTGGACCTGGGTACCTCCCTAAGCCTCACAGATTCCTCACCAGTAAAAGGGGCTTATGAATCTGGATTTGTAAAGTGAACTGGGATCATGAGGCCTGATTTGTAAAGATGAGAGCACTGGAGTAACAGAATCATCATAGCTAAATCTGTTTCTGTGTACCTACGATATGCTAAAAACTTGCACTGTATAATCTCATTTAATGCCCCACGACCCTCTGAGTGAGGACGGTTCTCTCCCCATTTTACAGCTGAGGAAATGGAGGCATAAAGAGGCAAAGTGATTTGCCTAAGGTCACACAGTCAGAAGGCATAGGAGCTGGAAACTGAATCCAAGAGGTCTGATTCCAAAGTCTATGTTCTATGGCTTCCTGTTGAAGGAGCTCGAGACAGATAAGTGGGAGGCACGACAGTATTATTAATAGGGCCTCTGAGAGTCGGCCTGGGAATTGCCACCACCCTGGGGCTAGGGATGGCAGGTGTGTTTGTGGGTAGGAGTGTGTGTACCTGAGTGATATTCTCCCCTAGGGCAATGTCTTGCAATATACACACCTTTCTGCTTCATCCTAGACACAAGCGTCTTCTCCACATCCTGCCAGGGCCTCTCAGGCCTGACTACCCCTCCTCTCTCTGACAGGTTGGGGAGAAACAGGCTTGGAGTTCCCCCATCCTAAATAGGAGGAGAGATTCCTCATCTCGTGAGGCTGACCCTGGTTTGGGGGCCTGGAGTTACTAATTGCAGTCTGTAGGGCTGTGTCATCTAGCTGGTGACTCAGGGCTTCAGGATCAGCCCCTTCCCCAGCCTGAAGAGGCCTCTAACTGGGCGAGGAGCTTGGAGTCCAAGCTATGACCTGGGTCAGGGTTAGAGAGTGCCCACCTGGGGGTGTATCCTGCTCCCAGCCTCCTCTCCCAGGGCCTTGGCTAAACTCTGTTGTGGTATTGGAAGGAGGGGCAGGGGAAGTGGGGAAGGGGATGTGGTAACCAGAACCACTTCCTGCCATTGCTGTTGAAAGCCAAGCTTTCCTCAAGTTCCCCTTGATGGGGGTTGGGGAGCCAGGGGCTAAAGGAGGAAGCTGGGAGGGAGTGAGCGTTCTTGCTTAGATTGACTCCAGGAATCAACCTTTGGAGTTCTTGTTGAGGTGTCCTCTCCCGCTCCCCAGTTGGTAAAAAACAGCCAGCTGGCCCAGAGGCAAACGTAATTAGAGTAGCCCCAAGCACTTACTACCATGTGCCAGGTACTTTATATCTGTTAACTCACTGAGGTAAGCACTATTATTACCCCATCTTACAGATGGGGAAACTGAGACACTGACAGATTCTGTCAACTGCTCAGATCACACAGCAGGTCCATGCCATAGCTGAGATTCGAACTTAAGCAGCTTGGCTCCAGAGTGTCGGCTCTTAGCTACCAGTCCTTATCGCCCCCCACACTTGATCCCTGGCTCGCTTTGTGACCTAAGAGAGGCAAGTTCTTCACTCTGGGCCTCAGTTTCCTCATCTGCACGATGGGGATAATCGGAGTAGATAAGTACACCTCCATCTTGTGATGTCTGTCTCTCTGGTAATGAATTACTCGATCAGTTTCTCCCCTACTGGACTGTCAGTGCCATGAGCACAGGGACGAAGGCTATCTTGGCCACTATTATATTCCCAATTCTTAGCATAATGCCTGGCCTGTAAAAATTCAACCAATATTTGCAGAATAAATGGTCTTTAAAGATTTGAAGATGGTCATCGATAGTTTGAATATATGATGAAAGTTTTGGATGCCTGACAGAAGAATCAACATATATCAGTGGTTCTCAACTGGGGGTGACTTTGCCCCTCCCACTCATCCAGAGGACATTTGGCAATGTTTGGCAACATTTCTGGTTGTCACAACTGGCAGGGGGAGGTGCTACTGGCATCTAGAGAGTGGAGGCTGGGGATACTACTAAACATCTTACAATGTACAGGATGACCCCCAACAAAGAATTACCAGCTCCCAATGTTGACATTGCTAAATTTGAGAAATGTGACATATATACATAGACATGACATATTTTGTACAATTGATGGCAAGTTGGGGGTGGTTCATAGATTCTGCTAGCACCTATGTCTGCCTCCAGATGAAGACCCCCTGGATTAGAAGGTCTCTCTGTTTCCATCTCTAAAATCATACAGGCTCTGAGCCCACACTCTCAAGTCTGGAATATAGTCCCCTTGGGTCCCTTATCCAGGCTGCTAATTCCCCAAAGTCCCAAAACCTCCTCTCTGATTTTCGGTGGGTGCAAGGGGTCAGGGGAGAAAGGTCCAGGTTTTAAGTCTCCCCTCCCCCACCCCATGCCCCCACTCCTCTCCAACCCTTGGTTATCTCAGTTGCCTGTAAATTGACATAAATATGAAAAACTTCAGAACTGAGGAGCCCCGGGCTTGCATCCTGGTTCTGTGTATTAACTCACTGGGTGATCACAGGCAAGTTCCTTCACTGTTCTGAGCCTCAGTTTCCTTCTTTGAAAATGGGAGGGGTACTGATTAAACCTGCCTCACAGATGGTGGTTGAGATGAGATGCTTATAGGAAACTTATCACCATACTCCACAGTAAATCTCAAAAAATGCATTATTATTATGGCTTAGAGGTGAAGTGTCTTGCCCAAGGTCATATAGCTGGGGAATGGCAGAACTGGGACTGAAAACCAGAATTGCATGACTCCAAAGCAAATGCTCCTTAATTAGTGAACTCTAGAGCTTCCATTTCCTATCAGAGAAGCAAATGGTCTCTATCGCACAGACTCAGTTATTAGATAAGTATATAAAGTCCCTGGCACATGGTAAGTCCTTTAAGTACAGTTTGTTGAATTTTTATTGTTGTTCTTCCCAAATAATGCTTCTAAAAAGGCAAATGTAGATCCTGGCCCACACTGGCTGGCTGAGAAGGAAGGGAGGGAGGCTGCTGGTTATTGATGTAAGTGGTGGTAACTGATGCTGGAGCTTTTGTGGGTGGACCAGGGCAGGAGAACCAAAGGGCTCCTGGGGATTATCCCCTTCCCCCTATTTTGCAGTTGAAGACTCCAAAGCCCATGGAGGGGCAAGCATTTACTCTAGGTCACACAGCAGGTTAGAGCCCAAGACCCCAGTCTCCTGACCGCAAGTCGGAATCATGGTCCTGGCAATCACGGTCGTCTGTCGAGGACTTGCAACTACACTATATTACGCATTCTACGGGTTTGATTTTATTTTATCTTCACATCAACTTAGGGACAAAGGGCCCTTTTTTTACGGGAGAGGAAACAAATTCAGAGTGGTGAGGACATTTGCTTGAGGCACTGAAGGAAGAGAGTAAAGGCATGTCTGCCTGCTTCCAGGTGCCAGACTCCCCCTCACTAACCTGAAGGAGTCAGCCTGCGAAGACAGGGGCTTGCCCCAGTGGAATTCCCCAATCCCTGCCCAGCTGAGCCCACTCCTTCCAGGCCAGGTGGAGCAGGGAGAGGAAGCTGAGTCAAGAGAGGCTTCCAGGGACAAGAAAAGGAGAAGGGAGTGTGAGGAGTGGCCCACAGAGGGGTCTAACCAGGAAGCGGGATTACTGGGTTCAGACAGAGGCCTCAGAGAATTTTCCATCCCCTTCCCTTAGCCTGACCACTTGGGGCCTTCAGACGGAGAGCTCAAGGAGTCCTCCAGCCTCGTTTTCCTTCTTCTCTTTCATACAGTTCTCCCAAGCTCTGCAGTTTGCAAAACCCAACCTTCCCCTATGGGTCTGTGGTTTCCTGTGGTCTCTGTGGGTCTGGGGTCCTCCCTGACTCAGCAATGGGGACTGCAAGCAGCGGGGAGAGGAGGAGGAGGAGGTGGTGTAAGTCTTTTCTCTGCCTTCTCATGCCGGAGCTGCTCTCGCTCTCTCTCTCTCTCTCTCTCTCTCTCTCTCTCTCTCTCTCTCTCTCTCTCTCTCTCTCTCTCTCTCTCTCTCTCTCTCTCTCTCTCTCTCTCTCTCTCTCTCTCTCTCTCTCTCTCTCTCTCTCTCTCTCTCTCTCTCTCTCTCTCTCTCACACACACACACACACACACACCATCCCCTGAGTCAGCTCCTGCTTGGCCTGGTGGGGAGGGGCGGGGTCACTGATTCAGTTAATAGCGCCTCCTTAAAGCCCCCACCAGGGAAGCTGCAGCCAGACACTGCTACCTTCACCATGAGCCCCCAGCTGTCCCTGGTCTTGGCGCTCCTGGTGCTGGGCTGCTGCTCTGCTGCCCCCAGACGGCGCCAGCCCACTTTTGTGGTCTTCCCAGGAGACCTGAGAAGCAATCGCACTGACATACAGCTGGCAGAGGTAGGCAAACATCCCACTGCCAACTTTGACGCTGACTGCCGGTTGAATCCCTGGGAGGTCATGGGGGCTCAGAGGAGATACTTTGGGGCATACTGCGGGTGATGGGCATGTCTAGAGAACAGAAGTGTCCAGGATCAGGCACCAGGGAGGGGGGACAGAGTCCTGTGGAGGCTCTGGGCCGTGATGGCTAGAAATGGGTTAATAAGAGTTTCCTAGATGGGCAATGGGAAATGGTGTGGGAAAGCATTGGAGGGTTCTGGAGTGGGCATGGGCTATGGGTGAACAGGGGGAAACCCTAGGGAGCCTTGAGGTAGGCGTGGCCAGGGGCAACTAGGGATGCCAAGAAGCTGAGGATGGCTACAGGGAGGGGAGATGCCTGGGTGGGCACAAGCCCTGGTGTCCAAGGCACCAAATCCTGCATACAATGCCTTGTTGCTAGTCCCTGAACGTCCAGAGGGTTGAGGTCCTGGCCCAGTAGAGAAAGGGAGACAAGTCTCTGGGATGTCTCTGCCCCTCCATCCACAGGAGTATCTGTACCGTTATGGCTACACTAAAGTGGCCGAGCTTAGCGACAACAAGCAGTCCCTGGGTCGGGCGCTGCGAGTCCTCCAAAGGCGCCTGAACCTGCCGGTCACTGGTGAGCTGGACAGCGCCACCCTGGAGGCTATGCGCGCCCCGCGCTGCGGCGTGCCAGACCTGGGCAAATTCCAGACCTTCGAGGGCGACCTCAAGTGGCACCACCAAAACATCACGTACTGGTGCGCGGCGGGGTACCGCGGGGGCGGGCGTGGTGGGGGGTGCGGGCATAGGCGCCCGCGCGCGGGCTGTGGCTAAACTCCTACTGTCTTAGACCCGTCCCTGCGTTTCACTAACGATGCAGCCTGGGGCATTCTCCGTCTCTCCTTTGGGGAAATGGGCCTCGCAGTCTGAGTCCTCCTGCCAGGGCCACTGTGAGTGTCCGAAGAGAGAAATGCGTCTGGCAGTGCTTTATTGATGAGAACGCGGAGCACAGGGAGCGTTGTATACGCTGAAGTTGCTGAAACAGGGGTGTTGCTGCTGCTCCGGCTCCCCCCCACCCCTCACTTCTGGACTCTGTCCCCCTGTTGTTTTTTTCCCCTACAGGATCCAAAACTACTCGGAAGACTTGCCACGCGACGTGATCGACGACGCCTTTGCCCGCGCTTTCGCGGCCTGGAGCGCCGTGACGCCGCTCACCTTCACTCGCGTGTACGGCCTGGAAGCCGACATCGTCATCCAGTTCGGAGTTAGGGGTGAGAACGCGAGAAGGGAAAAGCCAAGCGGGTCTGGGACGGGGACAGGGGAGACAAGACTACGGAGAGAGTGGAGGGGGCACTGCACCCGGCTTTCTCTTGCCTGTCCCAGCGCACCCGGCCTCCGCTCGCCCTTGTGGCGCCCTCTCCTGCGCGACACGGTCCAGAGCAGGGACGCAAGGCTTGGACAGCGGCCCGCGGGCGGAATTTCCGCCGGCTCTCGGTCCAGCGCCCTGGGCAGCACACAGTCTGCACACCCGTACTCAGCTAGCTCGCCTCTTCCCACCTGCTTTTTCAGAGCACGGAGATGGGTATCCCTTCGATGGGAAGGACGGACTCCTGGCGCACGCCTTTCCTCCTGGCCCGGGCATTCAGGGAGACGCCCACTTCGACGACGAAGAGTTATGGTCTCTGGGCAAGGGCGTCGGTGAGATCCTGAGCTGCCGCGGCCCCTATTCCCTTCTCTTCTCACGCCCATTACCAGTTCCCCTGACCCGGTCCGCCTCCTCTTGCAGTGGTATCGACCCGTTTTGGAAACGCAGATGGAGCCCCCTGTCACTTCCCCTTCACCTTCGAGGGCCGCTCCTACTCCGCCTGCACCACGGACGGCCGCTCGGACGACATGCCCTGGTGCAGCACCACTGCCAACTTTGACACTGACCGCCGGTTCGGCTTCTGCCCCAGCGAGAGTGAGTGCGGGGTCGTGGCGAGGGGGGATTTTAATCCCAGCTCTGCCACTAGTGCTGTGTGGCCTGCAAGTCACCCTCCTCTTCTCTGGGCCTAGTTTCCTCAACTATGAAAGGAGGAGAGGAGGGATGGAGTACAGGGGTCAATAAACTTGGGGTAATGTGTGGGTCTCCCCAGGACTCTACACCCAGCACGGCAATGCAGACGGCAAGCCCTGTGTATTTCCATTCACCTTCGAGGGCCGCTCCTACTCTGCCTGCACCACCGACGGTCGCTCAGATGGCTACCGCTGGTGTGCCACCACTGCCAACTACGATCAGGACAAGCTCTTTGGCTTCTGCCCAACCCGAGGTATCTTTCCCCTGCCTACCAGATTCAGCATTGGGCCCCGAAGCGGGAATCTTCCACCCATCAGTTTGGCTCTCCACTCGTCGTTGGTCCTCAGGACCGCCGTGACTCTGCCCCTCCTCACCACAGACCTTCCCTCTGACTTCCAATTGCGGCAGCTCCATCCTTGTGGCTTGGCCTTTAGCCGAGTCTGCTGCCTCTCCCTAGGTCTCGCGGCCGGTGGGCCCGCCCACCAGCTTAGCCTGGGCTCAGCTGCGTCCCACATCGCCCCCTAGGCTTTAAAAATGGTACCAAGAATCTCTAGCTCCTTGTTTGGCCCGCCCCTGGCTCCTTATTGGACCCACCCACCGGGTTCACCCAAAGCCTTGGGTCTCTCCAGCTGACTCGACGGTGACCGGGGGCAACTCGGCGGGGGAGCTGTGCGTCTTCCCCTTCGTCTTCCTGGGCAAGGAGTACTCGACTTGTACCAGAGAGGGCCGCAACGATGGGCGCCTCTGGTGTGCCACCACCTCGAACTTCGACAGCGACAAGAAGTGGGGCTTCTGTCCGGATCAAGGTGGACAGGGTTCTGAGGTTCTGGGACTGGGGGTAGTGGGAGGTGGGAGCGGGCAGACGGCTGGAGCTGGGAGCTCAGCACAGGGCTTAGGTCTCAGACTCTCTTTTTCCTCCAGGATACAGCCTGTTCCTTGTGGCTGCCCACGAGTTTGGCCATGCTCTGGGCTTAGATCACTCAACCATTCCAGAGGCGCTTATGTTCCCCATGTACAGCTACACCGAGAAGCCCCCCCTGCATGAAGACGACGTGAAGGGCATCCAGAGTCTGTATGGTGAGGTTTGGGGGCAGAGATGGAGGGAAAGAAAGAGAATGGGGAGCGGTGGGGGGAAGTTGGGACCTCAACATCTATTGACGGGGTGGGGGGGTTGGAGTTGAGGTGGGGAGGGTGGGAAACCCTGGTTCAGTGGGTCTAACTGCCGCCCAGTTAGTGCCTGGAGATGGTGATTAAGAGCCCAGACTCTAGAGTGAGACAGACGAGTTTAAAAGCCAGTCCAGCCACTTCCTGGCTAGCTGACTTTGGAGATGTTACTTCACGGCGCCATTTCCTGACCTGTAAAGTGAGGCTAGTAATCATGCCTGCCTCATGAGGTTGTTAGGAGGGTTAAGTGAGTTAGAATAATGCCTGGCATATAGTAAGCACCGTATAAGTGTTCGAGACTTTTATTGTTATCATCCCTTATCATTAATATTATTTCCTCATTTAGAAAATGCAGATATTAAAGAATCTACTTTGTAGATCTTTTTTAAAAAGTCACATGAGCTGATGTGAGTTTATAAAGCTTTTAGCACTAAGTTTGGCACTCAGTTTGAGTGCTCGAGAAACAATTCTCTCTCACCTGTGGGAGTGGGTGTTAGAGGAGTGGGGTGGGGTGTTCCTGTCTGTCTTATGTTTATAGGGCCCAGCATGGCTTAACTCAGCTCAGGAATTGGATAAATATGGCTTGGATGCAAGGTAAGTATAGGAAAGGACATGGCCTTCTTGTGATTGGGGAAAGGCAGGCTCTACCATCTAAAGTGGGGAGAGTGAGTGCCAGGGGAGAAAACTGATAGGCTTTGGGGAGTAGATATTTCATGGGCACAGAAGTATGCAGGACGAGGGATGTCTCATCTGGTGTCTCTTTTTTAGGTCCTGGCCCTAAACCTGAACCGCAGCCTCCAACCACCACACCTGAAACGCAGCCCACCGCTCCCCCAACGGTCTGCACCACTGGGCCCCCCACTGCCCGCCCCTCAGAGAGCCCTACCACTGGCCCTACGGGCCCTCCTTCAACTAGCCCCACGAGTCTCCCCACTGCTGGCTCTACAGCGTCTTTAAATCCAGAGGAAGATGTCTGCAACGTGAACATCTTCGACGCCATAGCAGAGATTGGGAATCACCTGCTTTTCTTCAAGGATGGGTGAGGGGCAGGGGTGTGTGTGTGTGTGTGTGTGTGTGTGTTAGGAAAATTAGTCAGTGCTATGTTAAAGTTTTTCCACATTTTATCTGTTTGATTTCAAGCTTCAGGTCTTCTCAGAGCTTTTTATACGTTAATGTGCATGATGAATTTCCAGGAGGAGAGTATAGGGTGAGGGTTTCTCAAACTACTCTGACTGAGGGACTCTATGTAATAAAGCATATCTATGGGAGG